CCCCCCCCCCATCACTTTAAAACAGGATAAAATAAGCATTTTATTCCAGCATTTCTTACTTTGAATGAATAGCCATTATGGTTACGATGAATGCAACGTAAAATTTTACAACCAAAATTATAAATGCTAAGATTATAGAAAGTTTCTACAAAATGAGCATAATAAAAATATATAGTATTAGTAACACAATAGGAAAAAGGCACACTTAATTTGACTAACTTACTTTCAAAAGTTTCCTATAAGCCTCATCAAGAGATGAATGCGCCAGTTAAAGCAATGGGGGGGGGGGTTTGCACACGCACGCACACGGACCCCTACCTCATTTTAAACCACCTAGCAGAATATATTAAGCCTCCCATCCCAGGATTATTGGCTTTTAAAAAGTCTCTAAGGGGCATCACTGAGAGATGAATGCGCCAGTTAAAACAACGGGCAAATTCTTCCAGGCTGCATTGACAATCCTGCATGGCTTTCTCTTGATAGATTTCACATACCTGTTACAAGAATTGTGCTGCAAAAGATGATCCCAACTCCATAGAACATCCAAGAGGCCTTCATCCTTAACTCTTGTCCTCAGGTGCTTCTCTGCTAAGGACGTGTGCGTGGAAGGATTGCACACCAGTTTTTTTCTGAAAGACCAATGCTGATTACAAGCAAGCAGCACTGAAGACTGTGACCAGACATTGTGAAACTACAAGCTATTGTTAGCTTACTAATCAGAGAGGAAACCTCCCCATTCTTTGAAAGCTTGGCTAGACGGTAGCATTTTCTCTTCCCCACCTTAGTTAATATTTTTTATTAATATTGATAGTGGTTTATGGATTGAGAGACACTCATAAAATAATTATTAAAAGGATATACATGTAGTATAAATGGAGAAATAAGTAACATAGTGTGCTTTGAGCAAGTTGTGATGGTTTGGGATAGTGTTGGCTGGGGAATTCTGGGAGCTGAAGTCCACACATTTTAAACTTGCCAAGTTTGAAAAATACTGCTTTGGAACTCTTGATTAACAAATTAATATTGTCTAGTACTGCAGTACGATTGGTAATCCAGTCTTTTCTGGAATAGATGATACTCAGGAGAGGCCATCAGCACATAAAAAGGATAGCATGTGGCAGAGAATAAATTTAGCTTTAGATAGTCTTTGGCTAATCTAAAAGACACTGATTTCCAGCGGGATAGGTCCATTAGTCTTTTACAGCAGAAAACACAGATATTCTTGTGGCATCTTAAAGAATAAATGCATTTATTATCATCACGTAAGGTTTTCTGAATCACTGTCCACTTCATCAGCCGCAGAGAGACTTGTAGAAGGAGAATGTGTATATGTGTGAGTGTATACACACACACACACATATACACACACAGTATACACGCACAGCAAAGACACACAACACAGAGGAGGGGAAGAGACAGGAAAGAGGAAAATGGTGAATGAAAAGATGGCAGACTTACCTGGGGACAGTGACCACAAACAAAGCAATGACAGAGACTTTCTTGCATTGACTGGCAAATTAACATGAGTCCTGTGGTAAGGAAACAAAAATGATTTTTTAAAAAATCGCTGAGCAATGCTTTTACATCTAATCTAATAACACTAGGGCAAACCTACATGAGGCATTTGGACCAGCTGAGAATCAGCCCCAGACCTGTCTGGTCTCATGATCTTGCCCCATTTATTTCTGCCCATGTGCTGGGTGACTTGAAACTGGAGCAAAGCTTGTTTTTCCTCTGAATTTCTGCAGTTCTGGAAAGCTTGGACGTGGCTTGTTTTTCCCGTTGACGCAGCAGAATCCGCGGGGGAAGGGAGTCAAAAGAGTCAAGATGGCAATCATGGCACCAGTGTCAAAGCCCTGCCCCTTTGATGTCAACACACACACAGAAGAGACCAGGCTTGGATTGTGTTGCTGTGACCACCACCTTGACTGCCTTCTCGTTCCCCCTGCAGCTATCGGTGCATTGGTGGCCACTCTGTTCTCATTCCACCTAATGGCTCCTGGAACTCAAGGCAACCTTCAGTATCCGATCTGTAGGCATTGTTCATGCTATATCCCTCTTCCCCCCCCTCAAGACTGTGCAATTATAGTCACAACCATTGGGAAAAGTTCTGGGTTGAAAAAAGGGCAATATTCTATCATTTCACTTTCATAGGTTAACCCATTTAAAAATAGGTTTTTAAATGCAGGAGGAATAGCTTCATAACATCTGCTCACTTTGTTTTTGGTAAATGACCAGACAAATGAACGTGTGTATAGAAAACACTGGTGGGGGCACTAGCAATTAATCTTCTTTCTCTTTTGTGTGGAGTGAGGGTAGGGAGATTTCTGTTAGTACTGCTGTAGGACGGTTCAGATCAAGGCACTGATTAAATGGCATTGTTCACACTGTCCTACTGGTCAGCTGGCACAAGAGAGGAAGCACTCAAGGTTGGCTTGAGTTCTTTGTATTTGGAGGTCAGCTGAAGTAAAGATAATCACAGGTAGGTTTCAGACCCTTGTGAGGGACAGAGGTGTGGAAATGCTGGGTTGCAGAAGCGCTGTAGGTGAGCTTTCTCGTTATGAAGCTGAGCCCATCATCTTTGTATCACAAATATGTTCTAAGAATGTCTAATTCCCACCTGGCAAATAGGCGATATAGGAATATAGGAATCTGTCTGATTCTGCCCTGGTTGACTATGGTTGGTTGAATACACCAAAGTTGCTGGATTTGTATAGTTTTTTTCTGGTCTCTGGGCACAGAGGGTCAGAGAGACAAGAAGCCAGGGCAAAACTGAGCTTAATAATCTTTCATCTTGGGCATTTGATAGAAGCATGTTCAGGCTGAAAAAAAAGAGGGGGGGGAGGAGGAGAGCAAGCATAAGGAAGATATGGGAAGGAAACGGGGGAGGGACCCTACAGCATTTTGCCCAAGCTCCTTCACATATGATCTATCCATACACCGTCCATTTCTCATTAACTCGGTCCTCACTTCTGCTGGATTAAGGTTGTTCTTGCTCTGATTTGCTTGAATTTACTGGCTTAAAAGAGCAGAATTCCTTCTGTTACCAATGGTACAGGAGTGTGATTTATACCTAGATTTCAAATTCCTTTTTGCAGTCCAGCTGCCTTTAACTGCCTCCAAGCACACCGTTAAAAATACCCACCTTCTGACCACAGTTTTATTTCTAAAGTATAACGTTTCCGTTCCTTTTGTGGTTCTGTAACAAAGAAAATGAGTTATTTTGGGGATCACTCCCTCCAACATAACTTTCAAATCAAGACTTAGAGCTAATATATTATTAGCATCAGGTGGGATGTCTTTTTTCAGAGAATGCCAGCATGTACAAGGAGTACTTGACCCACCTATGATTAACCACAACTGGATCCAATATGCTTTAGATTACAGAGCAAGTTATAAATGTTATAGCAAAGAAAGATGTGATGTATTATTTTTTCATTAGGTTAAAAACAAAGGGCAGGGAGAGTGTGGCATGGACAGAAGCTGCATCTTGGGGAAAGAGGAGTTTGAGACAGTGAAGGGAACCTTACTGTCCACTCAGGGTTTACAATGAACATAACTGATAGTGAATTTTAGAAAACATTGGGAATTCTGCCTGTTGCACTTTGAGCGTATTTGAAGAATGACAGGGAGAGAAAATTAAGCTACTGAAGGGAAGTCCCCCTTTTCTAGTTCCACTGCTATGGGTCCTGTCATAAATTCCACCATCTGAATTATGTTTTTCACACCTAATCAAAACTGCCTGTCCTCTAGTATGTTTCCATTAGAATTGGCTGGCTAATAAATTTAAATAGATAAAATAATAAATGTTTGCCCAAGTTAATGCCACAGTTGATTGATCCTGATTGTTCTGTATAATGCAGGTCTTTTGCCACTTACAAAACTCTCCTGGATTCACTTCAGGCTAACCTGCTCCCAGCAGCTTCTTACTGCAAGGCATCCATACTGGAATCATCTCCAACATCAACTAAGTTACTTGCATCTTCGAAACAAAGAGCCAGTCATCCTGGGACCCTACCATTGTGGCTTCCAGGGTAATATAAGAATGTTACCTTTAGTTACTGACTTCTTATTTTATAAAGCATTTCTGTAAACATTTCCCCAATTATTCATTTACTTATTTTATTTTGCCCAGAGGACACTCAGCTAGGTTCATTAACTAACTAGTTAAAAATCTGATAAACCAGTTAAAATGCACTAACCACTGATTTGAGATGAAAAGTCTGACTAAACAGGAAGGTCCTCCTTGTGCTCAGGTGGTCATTTTTGCCTGTGGTAATCTCAAGTAAATCTCAGGAAGTGGCAGAACCCACTTGACTTTGGCTGATTTTGAAAGCTAAGTGGGATTATTATTGGGATATATTTGGATGGAAGTATAGGAAGCTGTGAGCTAGATTAGGAAGTAAAAACAAAAATCATACAAAAAAACAATTGCAAACCAATCATACATCAAGACAAAGAAACTATATAGACATGTGTATCTATATATGTGAACTATATAGATCATGAGTAGTTGAGTTCAACACAAGGCTACTTTACTTTTAAACTCAAGTATAATCTTGGATAATTCAGTGTCAAAAGTACTGCTATGGCCAGACCACCTTTTCTTCTCCCATAGGCCTCCATAACCATGATAGTCTGCCAGGTTGGAATATTTTATAGTCCCTTTTCTCAATCAACTAAAAGTCGATTAAGAAGAGAGAGAAAGAGAGGCCAAAAGAAGAAAAATTGAATTATTCCAAGACTCACTGTGGTGGAAAGAAAACTGCATCTGATACCCGCAAAGTGATACATTAGACCCAACCCTGGAACCATTGTACGTAAACAGCCCAGGTGGCAGTTTATTTTTAAGAAAACCACAAAACAGGTGCAGCTGCTATAATTATTTGAGGAGGAAAAAGAGGTGGCTGCTGAATAAAATAGACAGGTTTAATCATTAGGACAGGGAATCAAAGCTGTTTAAAAGCTCAAAAGAAAGCCAGTATTTCGCATTAGCCTCTTCATTAGCTATGAGATACTATGATTAGGAGGGAAGGGGAGCAGAGCGTTACCCAGACATTGTCCCTTTCTTTGTAGATTGGCTTGGGGTCACAGCACTGTGTTTCATCTCTTTGAAAACCTAATCTGGTAAATAGCTTTGTCCCCCAGGCTATTAGATGTTTGAATGTTTAATGTCAAATGTGTACAGAATGTATATTTTATAGTAACTATGGTATCTTGATTGTATTTTAGTGTATGATTGTAAGCCAACTGCAACAGAATTTCATTTTATTATGCACTTGGTGTAGAGTGTATAGTGGGATGACAAAATAGTTGTTCTGTTCTGTTCTGTTCTGTTCTGTTCT